GCCATGAGAAAGAACAACATCCTGCTGTTTCTTGGAAAACGCCTACCACGTCATACCGTTCTAATCAAAGCTCAAACAGCGCGCATTCCTTCACTTTCCCAATGTAAAAACCTCATTCATGATCATTATATGGATCAGTTCTTCTCGCTTTGTTTGGATCGGTTTTAACGGAAGTTTTTCGGTTTTTCTAAACAGTTTGGCAGGAGCGGCAAGTGAACCAGCAAATGCAGAAACAGAGGAACAGAAGAAGCAAGCTAAACAATCACAAGACACAGAACAACCAGAAGAAGCAGAAGCAAACCAGAAGCAATCAATGTGTAGATGGTTCTCATGTTTTCCTCCTTGTCCTTGGTGTTGTGCTTCACATTCTCCTTGTTCATGTTCTTGAATCTGTTTTGGTGTTTAATTAGACGACAGATTAAATTTGTCATTAGAAAAAGTAAAAATCAATTCAATTTGATTCTCTCCTTTGTTGCTTTCAAACTCATGAGAAGATAAAGATCAAAGAGTAATCCAGAGTAATCTCAAACCAAAAATTTCATTGCCTAAAAATTGACTTGAATCCACAAAAGTAAAAAATTTTTTTAACTCTTTCTCAAACAATGAGCAAAATTTGGAAGAAGTCAAAATTCTAGTTTTTGGTCTTAGTATTGCCATGGCCGTTCTTCTGATTTGCTTTACCATCACCACCAGCCTCACTCTTCTGTCTCCCATAGCCTCTTCCTCCATTGGAACCGTTGCCTCGAGGTCCGTTTCCATCGTTTCTTCTGTAACCATTCTCATTCTTATAGTAACCGTTGTTTCGTACAAACGGTCTGCCGCCATTTTCATTGTCCTTGCCTGCAGCAGAATCCAAAAACAACATTTACGATTATATTTTTTCTTTTACATAAAGTTACAATCTCGGAGACAATACTGCGTTACTTACCTCGCTTTTCTTCTATAGATGCTCTTCGGTTTCCAATTCTGATTGCAGTTTCGTTGTGAGCCTAGAGTTATGCATTTCAAAATCAGATAAAGAGGACTTCGAATTATATTGAAGTTGAGAATTTGATAGGCGAAAAGCATACCTGGAAGACATTCTTTATTGCTTCACTATTTTCGAATGCCACAAACCCGAAACAGTTTCTTTTTTCCTGAAAGGTCAAGATTTTTAAATGTGTGAGTGAACAAAGGGTTTAAGGTTTCAAAACTATGCAAAAACATTCTCTTAAGATCGTTTAAAGAATAACTAACCGGGTAACTTCTGACTTGGATACCACCTTTTCTAATAGCTCCAAAACCTTTGAATGTTTCAAAGAGTTGTTCGGGAGTCGCATCCATAGGCAAGTTTGCAACGAATATGGAACCACCCTGACCTGGTTTTTCAGTGGTTTCAGCAGAAGGGTGTTCAGGAATTGGGGCAGGAGCTTTGGGCTCAGGAGCAATTTTCGGCTTTTCGACAGGTTTCGGCTTTACTGGCGAATCTTTAACATTGGAAGGAGTGCATTGGACCTGTACGTTTGAAATTCACCTAGAGATTAGAATTTATTGCAAGATAAAACCAAATAGAATTTGAAACTAAACACAAACGGAGACTCACAATTGCTGCAAAGGATCTCTTGGGAGCATCCTCTTGAAATTTTGCTTCAGCAGCTTTAGGTAAGTTGCTGTTTCCATTAACCACCACTTTCTCCTTGGGCACTTTCGCGTGTGCGTTTGCTACAGCACTTGTGGGTTTTGTCACTGTAGTTTTAGCTTGACTAGGGATTATAACCGCCTCTACAGTTTCATTGGCAGGCTCTGCTGTTCAAAACCAATATCACGCGAATCAAAACAAATGTCAAGACGGTAAATTTCAGAATCATGATAAAGAAACCATTGGTAAGAAATACTTACCGGTGATAGTTTCTGTTGACTCGATTACTCGAGGACTCTCCTCAACCTCCTCGGTAGCTTCTGGTTCAACTAACTCATCAGACACATACCTCAAGAAATCGTTTAGCACATAGTAGCAGCTTCCTTTCTGTGGCACAAGGACGAAACTTTGACAAAACGTCTTTCTTTCTCCATCTTTTCCGATCACTAAACCCGTGACTACAGTTGCAACTGCATTCTTAAAAGATGTTTGGGAATCAGCAGTCAGAATCTCGATCCTCGAGTTTTGGTAGTCACAGGACATTATCTGATCATTAATATCCTGCAAGAAAATCGACGAAACAATGAACCAACTAACACCAAAAAGAACCATTGGTTCAGAGATACATATACTGTATAAACCATTAAAGGAGCTTACTTACTTTCAAAGAATTGACATAAACCATCGAGCCATCGAGACCTGGCCGTCCAAGCACACTACCCTCGTGGTAGAATTTATGAACATTCGCGGGCGATTCGTATAGGTGGTTATAGTATTCTTGAACAAACGCATTGCCCACAATGTGTGGATCCACTGATGGAGCGTTTGATTCAGGTGTCATCTCTGCATAATCCAAAGAGATTTATCACCACTCTCCATTAGTAAAATACTCTTTAAAGACAAGCATTCTCAAATCGAAAAAATAAAGCTTAATTAGTATTGAATACAAACACAAACATACGGAAGAACCCACAAAACAACGGAATCAAACAAGAAACTCTGCATAAATCGAAACCCCACAAAACCCACGAAATTTAAGGACTAATTGAGCTTCCATAGATCAATAGCCACTCGAATTTGAGAAAGTTAATAAAGGTCTAAACTTTGCAGCAAATTCAACGAAAAAGGGGAAAACTTTGTCGCATAAACAGTAAAATCTAAACAAACATTGAAAAAAAAAAAGACGAAGACATTGAAGTAGAATCAAGTACCTGCTACAATGGAGAAGAAGACGACACAATCAATCACAATGACACTT